AAAAAAAAAAAAAAAAAAAAAAGGCAAACTTATTTTGCTATTTTTTGTCTGGCTGTGGTTATCTGTTTTCTTGAGTGGTGACTGCACTCCTGTGTGCTCCTGTGGTGACTGCACAGGGTCTCAGGCATATGCCTGCCTCGGCCTCTCAAAGTGCTGGGATTGCAGTTGTGAGCCACTGTACCTGGCCAAAATCTGTATATGGAATTGTAACCAGGCCAGGTGCGGTGGCTCACGCCTGTAATCCCAGAACTTTGGTAGACCAAGGTGAGCAAATCATGAGGTGAGGAGTTTGAGATCAGCCTGGCCAATATGGTAAAATCCTGTCTCTGTTAAAAATGCAGATATTGGCAGGAGAATCACTTGAACCCAGGAGGCGGAGGTTGCGGTGAGCTGAGATCGTGCCATTGCACTTCAGCCTGGGTAGTAAGAGCAAAACTCCTCTCAAAAAAAAAAAAAAAAAAATATATATATATATATATACACACACACAAATATTATATTACCTGGGTGTGGTTACGTGCACCTGTAGTCCCAGCTACTCAGGAGGCTGAGGCAGAAGAATCCCTTGAACCTGGGAGGAGGAGGTTGCAGTGAGCCATGACCATGCCACTGCACTTCAGTCTGGGTGACAGAGCAAGACTCTGTCTCAAAAAAACAAAAGAACAAAAACAAACTATATCAATGTTGCTATCTGCTTATGAGAAGAAACTTTACTGATTAGCCTCACCTTAAGATCTGCAATGGGTGTACAATCGCAAATGTTTGAAGGGGCCCTTCTGAGTGGTGAGATTATCAGCCCAAGGTTCAAGGTCCTGAAGTCTTGCTGCAGTGTAGATGGCAAGCCAACTCAATCTCTGGATTATAGATTATAAAGGGCTTTACTGTCCTCAGTCAGTAGACCATTAAAAATATTCTTTACCTGGTTGGGCATGCTGGCTCACGCATGTAATCCAAGCACTTTGGAGGCAAAGGCCGGTGGATCACCTGAGGTCGGGAGTTCAAGACCAGCCTGACCAACATGGTGAAACCCTGTCTTAAAAAAATATATATATATTCTTTACCTGGTAAAAATATGCTTTGCCATAATGCACCGAAGCTTTGCTGCACTTAATCACATTAGACTTTAGTAGCAGAAGATACATGAGGTTCCATTATCAGGTGCAAAAGTCATCCAATGACTTGATTGTAACAATGTAATAGTCAAGAATTTTTTTTTTACTCTCAGTGAATCTGATTGTCATCAATCTCAATTACAAAAGAAATCCAGTCAATTTCGTTAGCTTTGCTTAATACTACTGGATCTGAGCTAGGTGTGGTGGCTCACTCCTGTAATCCTTTGAGATGCCAAGGCAGGTGGATAACCTGAGGTCAGGAGTTCAAGGCCAACATGGTAAAACCTCATCTCTACTAAAAATACAAAAATTAGTTGGGTGTGGCGGCAGGTGCCTGTAATCTCAGCTACTCGGGAGGCTGCGACAGGAGAATGGCTTGAACCTGGGATGTGGGGTTGTGGTGAGTTGAGACTGTGCCACTGTACTCCAGCCTGGGCGACAGAGTAAAACTCCATTTCAACAACAACAACAGGCCGGGCGCGGTGGCTCAAGCCTGTAATCCCAGCACTTTGGGAGGCCGAGGCGGGTGGATCACGAGGTCAAGAGATCGAGACCATCCTGGTCCACATGGTGAAACCCCGTCTCTAAAATACAAAAAATTAGCTGGGCATGGTGGTGCGTGCCTGTAATCCCAGCTACTCAGGAGGCTGAGGCAGGAGAATTGCCTGAACCCAGGAGGCGGAGGTTGCGGTGAGCCGAGATCGCGCCATTGCACTCCAGCCTGGGTAACAAGAGTGAAACTCCGTCTGAAAAAAAAAAAAACAAAAAACAACAAAAACTACCACATCTATAATACTGTATTTAACAATTTTATAACTTGTCTAGTGAAATAAGTATCTTTATTATTGGAGACTTTTTCAGAAATGTTCCATGAGCAAAACATATTTTCTTTTTTTTTTTTTTTTTGGGGACGGGGTTTCGCTCTTTTTACCCAGGCTGGAGTGCAATGGCGCGATCTCGGCTCACCGCAACCTCCGCCTCTTGGGTTCAGGCAATTCTCCTGCCTCAGCCTCCTGAGTAGCTGGGATTACAGGCATGCACCACCATGCCCAGCTAATGTTTTGTATTTTTAGTAGAGACGGGGTTTCACCATGTTGATCAGGATGGTCTCAATCTCTTGACCTCGTGATCCACCCGCCTCGGCCTCCCAAGGTGCTGGGATTACAGGCGTGAGCCACCGCGCCCGGCACAAAACATATCTTCTAATAGCCTTTAACTACTGATATAACATCCGACTTTTCGCATGAGAAAACTTTTTTTGTTTTTGAGTAACAACTAATATTGTTGTTGTCTGCTTTCTTGAGTGGTGACTGCACTCCTGTGTACTCGAGAAAACAGATAACAACAACGTTAGAATTCATCCCTTTGACACGTTCCCATTATTATTATTATTATTATTATTTTTAGAGACAGGGTCTCACTATGTTGCCCAGTCTGGAGTGCAGTGGCTATTCACAGGCGTGATCCCACTACTGATCAGCACGGGAGTTTTGACCCGCTCCATTTTCGACCTGGGCCGATTCACTCCTCCTTAGGCAACCTGATGGTCCCCCGCTCCCGGGAAGTCACCATATTGATGCCAAACTTAGTGCGGACACCCGATCGGCATAGTGTACTACAGCCCAGAACTCCTGGGCTCAAGAGATCCTCCCACCTCAGCCTCCTGAGTAGCTGGGACTACAGGCACATGCCACTGTGCCCGACTCCATTATTTTTTTAAAGGGCTTTAAAAAAAAAACATTTTGAGCACCTTGGCTCATGCCTGTAATCCCAGCATTTGGGGAGGCTGAGGCAGGTGGATCATAAGGTCAGGAGCTCAAGACCAGCCTGGCCTATATGGTGAAACCCTGTCTCTACCAAAAATACAAAAACAAACAAACAACAAAAAAAAAACCAAAACAAAAAAAACTAGGCATGTAATCCCAGCTGCTCTGCTGGAGGCTGAGGCAGGAGAATTGCTGAAACCTGGGAGGCAGAGGTTTCAGTGAGTCGAGATCAGGCTGCAGCACTCTAGCCTGGGCAACAGAGCAAGATTCCATCTTGGGGGGAAAAAAAAAAGTTTTTTTCTTTTAAAAGTTTTCAAATTCTTTTCTTTTATTCTTTTTTTTTTTTTTTTTTTTTTGAGACTGAGTCTTGCTCTGTCGCCAGGCTGGAGTGCAGTGGCGCAGTCTCGGCTCACTGCAACCTTTGTCTCCCAGGTTCAAACGATTCTTCCGCCTCAGCCTCCCGAGTAGCTGGGACCACAGGCACGTGCCACCACGCCCGGCTAATTTTTGTATTTTTGTAGTAGAGACAGGGTTTCACCATGGCCAGGATGGTCTCAATCTCTTGATCTCATAATCCGCCCGCCTCGGCCTCCCAAAGTGCCGGGATTACAGGCGTGAGCCACCATGCCCAGCCTCAAATTATTTTCTATGATGAAAAATAAGTAATGTGTTGTTGGGCCTCGATTTTTTTAAACTAATCCCTCAGCTATTATTCTATATCTTTAAAAAATTCTTCTTCAGGGCCGGGCGTGGTGGCTCACGCCTGTAATCCCAGCACTTTGGGAGGCCGAGGCGGGTGGATCACGAAGTCAAGAGATCGAGACCATCCTGGTCAACATGGTGAAACCCCGTCTCTACTAAAAATACAAAAAATTAGCTGGGCATGGTGGCGCGTGCCTGTAATCCCAGCTACTCAGGAGGCTGGGGCAGGAGAATTGCCTGAACCCAGGAGGCGGAGGTTGCGGTGAGCCGAGATCGCGCCATTGCACTCCAGCCTGGGTAACAGCGAAACTCCGTCTCAAAAAAAAAAAAAAAGAGATCTAGACCATACTGGTCAACACGGTGAAACCCCGTCTCTACTAAAAATACAAAAAATTAGCTGGGCATGGTGGCGCATGCCTGTAATCCCAGCTACTCAGGAGGCTGAGGCAGGAGAATTGCCTGAACCCAGGAGGCGGAGGTTGCGGTGAGCCGAGATCGGGCCATTGCACTCCAGCCTGGGTAACAAGAGCGAAACTCCGACTCAAAAAAAAAAAAAAAAATTCTTCTTCAATTTCTTTTCTTTTGTTGAGACAGGGTCTCACTGCATTATCCAGCCTTGATTGCAGTGGTGTAAAGAATCAGGGCTCACTGCAGGCTTGACCTTTCAAGCTCAAACAATCCTCCTGCCTCTGCCACCTAAGTAGCTTGGACTACAGGCATGCGCCACCATGGCTGGCTATTTATTTATTTTTCATGGAAACAGCATTTTATGTTACCCAGGCTGCACTGGAACTCCTGAGCTCACCTAATTCTCTCCCATCTCAGCCTACCAAAGTGCTATAAATACAGATGTGAGCCAGCTTGTGCTTCTGCAATTTCTTGAGATGATTATTTTCAATGATAAATAGTACTATAG